ATGTCGTAAAAAGAGCACATTAATAGTAAGTCTTAAGTTTTATGATTTGCTAATGAAATGTCAGAAGACGAACACAATTGGGTTGACGTTAACGGATGAAAAACAACAAAAATAAAAAATGTTTCTACAAAGTGAAATAAAATAAAGTATAAATAATTTTTGAAGAAGATCTATAAAAAGTCAACTAAAAAGCATTAGTTTTTAAGTTTAGCACTGACTAAAACCCTTAATAATATCTATGTATTAAAACTACCTCTATGCATATCTGTTTTCATCAAATAAAAAAAATACTTTAATGATTAACAAGATCATAAATGTAATGGCTTTTAAGTTTGTAAACCATAGTACTGTAACTTTAGAGGTAACTTGAAAATTTCTAAAGCATAAAACTTTATAAGACGGTAACCAAAGAGTTTCTAATGCCATTAACAGTCATTCAGATACGTTTCCTCCATGTTTTGTGATTGTAAACTCTGTGGTTCCCGATTTATGTGGCTTAGAACTAAAGGATTCTTAGGTTATGGGGTATAGTACACCAGGGTTTCAAGATTTTGGAGTTTTAGTCTCTTAGGTTAGTGGGTAATTGGGTAAAGTGATTAGATTAAAAAGTGTCCTAAAATTTTCTGCCTGGTTGGATGCGACTTTTAAGTGTATTGGTACATTAATGACCCAAGTCCTAGAATGGACACGTTTCAAACAAACCTTATACAAATCTTTTATAGTAGAAATATCTTTTTACGTTTTTAATAAAAAATACAGTGAATAAAAGTCTTTTTTTTTGTATTACAATCATGACTTAATAAAACATATCATTTAATAGTATTTTTTGTACTCTAGGTGGTGCATGTTGTCAGAGTAAGCGCCAAGGCCAAGGGATTCCTTGTTCTTACCTTGATTGGACGCGCACCAGAAGCAAACCCTATTTTTCTCCTGAGGGCACACCTGACCTTCAAAAATGCACAAGGTAAGAAAAGTAATTTATTAGTTTTTATCTTATGAATGTGCTAGTCTTCTAGTCAAACCACTTTTGACAATATCCCGGCTAAAAGACGACTTTTGTTCCCTGATTTTAACGACAAATGCGCCACGTTTTTCTTGTGTAAAAACTCGCATTCTTAGCTCATACAAAAGCGTTTTGGCAAAGTCTACATCTTAACTATCCTTGCTTACGGCTTTGGAGATAATTTTCTTTCTAACTTAAATGTTTTTCTAGTAGTAAGCAGAGTAAACAAGTCTTATTAAGAAAATCATGATGTTTCTTTGTACAAAATTAATTCCCGAGTGTTTGACAATCATACACTCAGAAAGAAATGACATACTTCTGTTGCTTATGACAGAATATGCTACTTTAATTTGGAATAAATAATTTAGTTATTTATATTGATAACAATAATTAAAATGAAATAACTATTTGCTTAGGTCTAATTAATAGTAGTTTTCGTACCTATTAGCGCATGTTCCTAGGGCAAGCACTAGACCCGAGAAACCTGCGATGCAGGACCCAAAGGACTCATTATGTTCGCTCGAATTCTGTGCACACCAGATGTAAACTCTATTTTTCCCACTAAGCTTAAAAAAACACCCAGAGTAGAAAAATTCTTTTATTTCATATCTTATAAAAAAACTATTAGTCTTGATCCGATAGATAAGTTAATTTTACAGCATAACTACCTCTTTCGTCAGAATGATTAGTTCAGTAAGAAATTAATATGTGGTACAATATTGAATAATTTATTAAGTATATTTTAAGTCAAAATTAATATGAAGATCTTTTAAGTATAACTACTGACTACAAGAATACGTTATTTAGTTGTTTTCATATATTTTATATAAATCCTTTTTAATCATAGAGTTAATTGTTTATTCTTAATTAAATAAATATTCAAGATCTCATGAAACAAATGTTCAATCAGTTAAATAAGCAATTTATGGTATAATCAAGAATATATTTAAATCATGTGGAGTTAATGGTATTTAATTTATTGAATACTTATGTTACTCAAAAAAATCTGTTGCTAAGCTTCAAATACATATTCCATAGTTTTAAATAATTACTTATGTTACAAATATCTTACAATGTTAGTTGAAATGAGCAATTTTTTGATTTATATAAAAAATTAAGTACTGACCTAAATAAATATTTATTCGAGTAAAGTAAATTGAACTAAAACAATTGTATTCATGTAAGTTGACAAGCTTTGAGACCTAGAGTTTGAGACCTAGTTAAAGAAAGACAGTTTCCATTTAAAAAGAAAAATATAGGCTTGCAATAATTCGGTTGTCCATTTTTCAGCCTTAATGCATCGATTCGTTACCATTCTAGTGCTATTCTTGTGAAAAAGGGCTATAAGAAAATCCCAATGTTACTTAAAATAGATCACCCAGTTTGAAAGAAAGCTTTGCAGTATTTGTTGATACAATTTAATTCTGTGACTTGTAACATGGCCATCTCATAGTTTTGCAAAAAGTATGTGAAGTTTTATATTTATTTACACTATGTTAATGAACATATGTTAGGACTTTGTATTTGCGATAGTAGTGTAACAGCTAATCATACACAATGTACACTCTTCCATCAAGATGGCGAAGTTGAGTCAGGGGTGTGGTAAGCTCATGGCATCACTGAAAAAACATTGAATAGCTTATTCCTAAGGCATAAATTAATGTATCAATCTTTTAAACTGCACCAAAGTTTTTATTTTTACTATAAAGAATTCTGATTTTCTCTTGAATAACTACGGATAATAATCAAAATCGGAGGGTCATAGATCTTAAGCACATTGTATTTGACATCACGTGATTGTAGCGGAATAGGTGGCTCAATGAACAAATCAAAGCGTCGAGGAGAATAAGCGTAGAGCGGCAGTTCCAGCAAGGAGTCGATAGCGAGTGGTAGTCTCGTATCCTATAGCTCACTGTCTTTCTTCTGTAACTCTACCAAAACCAAGCTAATATATACTTGTGTCACATAAAACTTGCTTTGTCTATCATTGTAAGAGATAAGTTCCTTTAGTAATATTTAAGGATTGGTAAAATTTCAGATATAACAAATTTAACTCTAATTTTGGAGTAATTTCCTCTCATGTTTGCTTTTAGTACTTATATATACGTATGAATGTAGTGAAGATGGCTTTTGGGCTCGTAGCCTGAATTTTGTTTTCCATCCATACGCTTCCTACCTTTCTTTTACTTCGTTTTGAAAAAATCATATAGGTGACTATCTTGTGATTAAGATAATCACCGTTTAATCAATGAAAAGACAACAGTGAAAATAACTAGTCCCCGTGAAAAGGAAATGACTTGAAGGGCACAAGATAAGTACACCTTTCATGGGCACCTAAAAATCTTTCCGAAATAGTTCACGTAAAAGCACTATTATTGCTGACACCAAGAGCATTTCCACCGTGTCCTTATTTCTTTCTAATTATCTCCTGGAGGGTATTAAAATATATAAATCATCCTTAGTATTAATAATAATCATCCATACATTAATCACCCATTTAATCCTATATTGTGATAAAATAGTATAAACATCTCAAACTTAAATTAATACACTAAATATAAATTTGTCACCTGCTACGTACATACACATGCATTGATCCATATTTTGGTAGAGTAGTAAACAAGGCCAAGGCCGTTCAAATTCTAAGTAGTTTATCCGCAAGGAAGGCCGTTGAACCGAGTCAAATGAGCCTTATCTCGAAGATGTGCCTCAAAAGAACTTTTTTTATTAAAATGGAGGACACAAACGAAATATTTTTTGTGGATTTCCTCAAACATATTTTTTCAATTTTTTAGCCATTACTACGGTAGGTCATGTTTAGGTCATAACAATTTTTCCATAACAGCCCGTGTTAAGTTGTTTATTTTTATTTTGAAATATCCTAATAACTACATGGTTGAGATTGCCAAACAAACGTAGTTTTTTTTTAATAACACATATAATCAATCAAAAACTCAATAAGAGCTTTCAACCATTGTCGATGATATAGATCGAACCTTCTTCAGTAGTACTTTAATATTAGTAGATGTAAAAATGTGTTGAGTAATAGATCGGTTCCTTAGACTAGGATGAGGTTTGGTCCGTTTAAGTTTCGCTTCTAAAGTTATTATTATGTTTAAATTCAGTTTTCAGTTTTCCGTATGGCCCTTTTGCAAGTGATTTAGTACTGTACATCAGCTTTTTTTGTTAAAGGTAAGTAATTTAACGAGATAAGATTATACTTACTACTGAATAAAAAAATTTTACCGTCACATGTAATGCAGAACAGTATATTAAATGTCGTCAGCGAGTTCTGCTTTTTTTTATGGGGGCTGAATAAAAGTCTGCAAAGTTTAAAAATATCTAAGATAGAAAAAAAATTTTATGTGACGTTATTCAATAAGAATTTAATGAAAATGTTTAACAGAAACCTTTGCTCATTTCTACATATTTTAGGTACTAAGTAGTATGCACTTTAAACATAAACTCGAATGCTATCATCAGATGAGACTGAAGGAGAGAAGATCGTAATATTCTTTGCAATAGCTGTATACGATTTAAGCTCAGCCAATGCAGTGCATTAATGCAATTTATCAGCAATAAGTAACGAAAAGTAAAAATCAGATTGCGAATTCAGCATACAGTAAAAATTAGAAGGTTACAATTAGCAGGAAAAAATCAGGGAGAAAATAAACAAACTGTAGAAACTATATTGACGATAGCAAAGTACCCTTTTGATGGAGAGTGAGCTGAGAGCTGTGGTTGTGTGGTACTGGTGACGATGATGATGGTAACTGTGCAGTATCGTGAATGGTTTTGTGATAGTAGTGATAGTGTCGATGGTTATGTTGACCATGATTATAATTGTGCTGGGAATTATCAGCGTGATTGTCCTTGGATGCTGGCCAGTGAGAAGAGTGGTATCGAGGTGGCATCGGTGCTAATTCACGATCGTTGGGGGTGTCATTAATGTTGTTGTCGTCTAACTGGCGAGTGTGAGGTGGGGGCCGCAGTGTACCTTGCACTGGAGGCAGCAGTCGCTTGTCGTAGCGCGTTGACAGCAGCAGATTGTCCAAAATTTCCTTGTCCGACTTGCCTTCCTCGAAGCTGCAACACACAGAGAGACGCATGTGTCGAAACACGTGCACGCATATTACACATGTGTTTAAAATCCCTGTGACTGAATAGTTTATAATTTTTTTGCATGATTATTGGATTTTTTTTCTCTTTACATTTCCTAGATATGAGAAGTGAGTTGTTTCATATTTACTTTAAAAAGTATGACAAAGTGTAATGAGTGTGTTGTATTTAACACTATTAACTATTTTTTTAGTAAAGCAATGAATTTCATGCTCAACTACTTCTAAACTTCAATAAAACTTAAAATACGAATTTATCGGTAGACTTTTTTTTTTTTTTTTTGGTAAAATTTCATATTTTTGAAAATCAGAACTTTTTCTTTAATGTAGAGACATCCAAAATTGTCAATTTTTAATATAAAACTGGAATTGGTTATAACTTATGTTAACAACAACAGAAAAGACATAAGTTATATCAGTATGTTTCTAGTATCTTTGAACTTTTTCTTTACGCATTACATAACTGCTCAAGTGCTTACATAGTTACATAGGCTAGCATAATGCCACAAGCGTATGTAAGCAGATAGTGCTCAGTTGAATTTTCCTCTAACGTACAGACAAACTAAATTGTTAAACAATAGCCACTAGTTTTTATAAAACATTTCTTTAGTATGTTTCAGTGTCACAGCGATTTGAACATAGTTATTGGATTGAACGATAAACTGAGTAAAAAGTGACGGAAAAAAAAAATATTTAAATTATCTTTAACGTCTTAAGACCCAGCATTCGAAATAAAACACCTGCTGCCACAACTTTCTTGTATTTTTTAGGCTAGTTATGATAGCCATAAAGCAGACAGTAAAACTAAGTATAAAGCTAAGTATAAATTTGATAAGTACCTCAGCTTAAGTCTTTTTCGTCTATACTAACAATGTTTGAAAAATGAACATGCTGTATAATTTAACTACCATTTTGTATACCACAATTATTTCTTAAAACTTTGACAAGATTGTTAACTCATTTAAGCTGCTCTTTTTGATTTTTCTTATAAACCTTCTGGAATAAAAAATGTGGTATGATATCTATATTAACAGGTGTAAATTTTGAGGAGTAACAGCTTTACGTAGGTTTTCAGGAGGTACTAAGTACTCTCAAGAAGTCTTTACTACTTATCACGTAACATAATTTCATACTTAAGGTACATTTTAATAAAAAATACATTTACTTAGTATATCAACCTTAAATACATACCTTATTTCTGCTTGTTTTGGCAGAACATTTAATATGGTAAGCTCATGCAGTATACTACAGAAATAAAAGTGAGCAAAAGATATCTATCATAATAGAATACCCTGTAGAACACGATTTGGCTCGCATAATGTTTATTAACTTTGGGCATACCTCCATTGAAAACAACGGTAGCATTGAAACGACCAAAATATACTGAGACAAAAAATAATAAAAATTACTGTTCTGGAACGGTAATGTCACTCCGCTGTCTAAGGACTTTAAAGTTTTACCAACTTATTTTTTACCATCCCGTATAGTAATTTCTATTATACCAACAGTAAAAATCACTGTAACTACAATGAGAATTATTTCTCTGAACATTAAAAATTATTGTTTAAATAGTAAAAAGCCTCTAGATAACCAAACAATACTAGATTACCCATCAAGCACTGTAATTTTAACCATTTTTTTCTCTCAGTGCAGGTAAAAAGCATTATTGGATTTTTTTTTATAACATTCTAGGAAAACATGTAAATGCTATTAAAAAAGTGTCGTACTTATGCTTTAATTTCCTGCTACAGCTACTTTCATTGTAACTAAAATTTAGATTCAGTTGTAATATCTATTCAAAAAGCCATTAGAACTTAATGAGGAGATCAAATAAAGATTTTATTTAAGGAGACTCTTTTGCCCTAGCGTTGCTAAATCAAATATATCATTAGATACTTTAGATCACGCTGAATCTACCACCCTTATTTATATCCTTAACTATACTAAATCTTAAGAAATTAACGTTTAGGGTTTACTGTTTCAACTGATGGAGTGTTATGGCAGACACCTTTAAATAAACCATTTTCAAACATTTTTAAAAGTTTCAGATATTTCAGTTTACAGGTGAATTAGATAAGAACTTCTTTTATTGAATTATGTCGTAAAAAATGTGGGTAAGTGTACTAAAAATTAAAGTCATTGCCAAAATTGCAATAATTCATACAGTCATCGGTGTCACGTTGTTCACACGCAAACTTTTTTGCCTGTATACGTTGGTATCCTTACCCACTTCCTCTGATTATTGATTTCAAAATCTACATAAGAACCCTTTACCCAATAATCATGTTTAAAATTTTTTGTTATGTAATTTCTGAAACATTATAATATTAATTGTCAAGGTCATTTACTTCATGATTAAACAGTACATTGTTTAACTTACCCGAGATTTATGATAAAAATCTCGAGAATTGGTGTTTCAGCAGATTTTTAATAGAATTTGACAAAGGTTTAACTTATTGACGGCTTACTTATCAACGAAAACTAATACTTCTATCTAGCAGCCAGAAATTAAAAAAATAAGATAACAACTGGCTCTTTACTTACGAAAGTATACCAAGAGCTACTTATTCAAACACAACGAATTCAAGTCAAACAATACTATGAATCAAAACAACAAAAGATAGGGCAACTATGTAAGATATAAACCTTATTTCAGTTAGTAGAAATATTTCATTAGTTAATAATGATTCGAGTTTCTTTGCAAAGCTGTTGAATCAATTTTTTAAACATAAATTAATTTGGAACTATTGACCAGTTATTTATCTTCTAAGAAAAGCTTACATATTTTTAATATGTTTTGAGTACAAATTTTATAAAACTTCTACTTAATTACAAAATTTTTAGAACAAAGATTTTTAAAAGATTGAAGTGACAGTATTAAATAACAGGAAAAAAATAATTCCTGAAATAAAGGTTACTTCTATACAATAAACTGACATGTTCCCTCCCTCCTTGAAGGTTCTATGGTATTGTAAAAGTAAAGCAAGAGTATCCATAAGCAAAACCATATAGATTTATAGGTTCTAAGGTAAAACATGATGTATTTAGCAATCGCTGTCAGCCAGTAAACACTGTAATGATGCAAAAATGGCCACCACGCTTGCGAGAAAAATTCGTATACGATTACTGAGGAACACTGTAGCTGCTGGATTGAGAGTAATTGTGAGGAGAGATACGTATCAGCAGCAGCCACAGCAGTCATGTCCAAAGCGAGAGCTCACTGTAAGAGTTAGTCTCAAGGTGGACGCCTAAGTGCAGACAGTAAAAGTTCCGGTGACTTTCACGAATTGTTATGGGACGTGTGGTACAGAGAGAGATAGAGAGTAAAGTGAGAGAGGGTTTCAAGATGGTGCGTAGATTGTAGAGGGAGAGAGTGTTGAGAAAGGTTTAGATTTTGACTTAGATTTATTTATTCAATAGATAAAGACTCAAGGCCATAATAGCCGTGGCATATTCATTTTTACACATATCAACAAGCTTGAACAGTGGCCAGAATCTTATTCTAGAGCTTTACTGCTGCTATTTTAAATACACTAGCATAAAAATCCAATATTCTTGGTTTCAGAACTAAGTCAACAATACACTGTTTTGTCACTCAATCATTTAGTTCAACAAATGATGTGAGCTAGATAAGTATGGAGGCATATTTGATTTCAGAAAAGATACCAAGTAATGCAGTGTAAGGTACTTAAAACGTTGCTTACATGGTATGAGTTTGTATCTGAGAAATGTGGGTAATATGTGTTGAAACTTTTTCTGACCAACAACAAATCTTAATGCAGCATTCATACACCTACTCAATCTAATAAAAAACTTATCAGAAAGTCCCAAGTCAAGAGACGCACAGTAATTCAGATGTGGTGATATAAGAAATTTTACCAACAACAGTTTGGTGCTTTTTGGTAAAAAGAACGCGTTTCTACCCAAGCAAGCTGGAATCTTACAATATTTTTTGCTACTTTAGATTACTTTAAGGTAGTTTTTTTTATCATACATAGTTAAACCATTTTTATTGCCTATTCTCTGATTTTACAAGGAATAAAGCTTACAGTACTGACGATGCACGGTGCCTTATGGATGGGATCATGACCGTAGAAGCAATAATCATCTGCATATAAGTGGTGATGCTGATAACCGATGTCAGACAGGTCTTTAATATATAGAAGGAAAGAGAGAGGGAGAGAGAGACAGAAAGAAAAAAAAGTGTACATAAGTCTTGCAGCTGCTGTGTTCTGGTGGCGAAGACAAGAAGAAGAGGGTAAGAAAGCAATTGAGACAGAGCAAAATCATAGAACAAACTGCTCGAACATCTTGTTTAAATGAAAACATATAGGAGGTAAATTAAGTAAATACGAGGTCTTGGTTGCGTGCCGCAGAGATGTTGTGGGGACCCGACCCTGCTGCTCAACCGCTGGTAAAAGAGTTGGCTCTTTAGCCTTCCTCCACTCCTCTCTCCTGCGTCTCTGCTCGTCATGCTAGGCCCCTGCGCGCAGATAAGTCTCGACCACTATTGCAAGCACACATATTGTAGCTTCCTTCAAGAAGCCTTTTATTCAAGTCTACATTAAACTTTTATTGTTAATGTTAATAAGCAGTTAATTACTTCACCTTCCTCTTTGACTCCTGGATACGGCAGCCATGGAACTGCCCACTCAAGCCAAACCACAGACAACACCATCCCAGATTGGTGACCCTGACGTTCTCAAAAAAAAAGGAAGTTCTCTTACTACTTCATGGAAAGCGTAAGCAACAAGTTTATGCAGTAACAGACATTGTTGTCAACAATCAAGAGCCAGCCTTCCTGGTGCACACACGTATACCTAGTCGATGACTCTCCAAAATAACATCATCTCGGCCTCTCGACACCCAAGTTACCAAGCTAGTTAAGCCCATCTGGACTTGATCAGCACATCGCTCGTGGCTGTGCAGCATTTTTGCATCGTCACGCCAGCTAACAGCATTGCCCAG